GCACAACACTGGTCACTATATTCTTCATTTCCGGTTAATACTTGTACAGCTGCTGTTATTGTGTATATATTTATTTATATTTAGATTTCTTCATACATTCTTATATAGTTCTATATTGTGTATTTTGTTGTACAGTTATTTTATTTTCAACTTTAATTTATATATTTATCTTTATCTTATTCTTCCCAGTTAAATTTACCCTTCATTCTAATTTGTGTTGTACAGTTATTTCATTTTTAACCTTAATTTATATTTTATTCCTTCCTAGTTAAATTTACCCTTTTTAATTTTTCATATTTATTTCCTATCTTATTCATAGCCTTTTCCTTTTTTGTTTTCTTTAGATCACGAGCAGTTGTCCAAGCATTTCACTACATATCGTACTGTGTATGACTGTGTACGTGACAAATAAAAAAAAATTGAATTTGAATTAAACTTAATCATAATCTGTGACATTGTTGAGAAAGCAAAAAAGCAAAAAATGTATGAGTTCTATGAAGGCCACTTTAGTTTTGGATGGTCGTGCCAGCTGCAGTACTTTATATGTGGCAGAAATGCTGTTCTTGGACCACCTGGTGGTGGGTAAAGCATTACTGACAAGCTACATCAGCAAATACAATAGACATCTTCAAAAGTAAAAGAACTGAAGTGACAGTGGGTTGCAAAGAAGCTTGCAGAGTCAGCAGCAACTGTTTGCACAGTGATGCAATTTAAGCAGCCTATCTGAGATTTGCAAATGACGAAGTGTACAGGCTGAGCCATGGTTTCGTGTTGAGGGGTTGGAGCTAACGTTGTGCTCAGGGGGGAACGCTGTGATGGGGAAAACTGCTTAATTATGAGTTTTCTTGGCATCCAAAGGATAGGATAAGAGTATGGCTCATTGTGAGCTTTCTCTCAGGGTTTCAGCATTAAGATCAGTTAATTGCCTTTGAAGAAATGTCGAAATTGACCTGACCTCAAGTGAGACAGATCAAGTGTCTTCTCCACTGATTTTTAGTTAATGTATGTTTGTAAAGGCTTCAGTGTAAAATTCGGATTTGGATCTCCAAGACTCTGCAGGTCATTTGCCAGAGTTAGAAACTGCCAATAATGCAGAGAGGCTGCTCAATTAAAACACAACCAGATAATTCTGGAAGTGTCTTTCTGCCATTTTTTTTTGCCTCTTCTCATTTCAGAGAAGTTGAGCGAGGTTTTGTCGGGGCCTTTCACACGACACTAAGATGAGTATTAATTTCCTGTTTGCCTCATTTCTGATGAAGAGGGCAAATCTGTGGATTATGTCGCCCTCTGACCTCCATCTTCGCCTTCCTCCATCCTTCCTCCGTCTCCTTTCAGTTTGCCCCCTGTTTGACCCACTTGGAATCCCTCCTCCAGGGAGGCGTATGCGGGTCAAGTTGGATGTCAGAATGCACAAAAAGTATCTAGTCATCTGTGTTCGACCTTTCCAGGGGCTGATGAGTAATGACGTGTTTGTTCCACCTTGCACTTTGTTCTTTTGTTTGTTTTTAAACCGATGAAGATGATGCGCTGGTGGGTTGACTGTCGCTTTGGATGACTGATAAGATTGTGAAGATGTCAAATTATCATCCTGTAAAAGCTTGAATTAATGAGTTTGGTGATAAGATAAGAAACTCTTTAGATATATAGTTTTTGTTAAAAAGCAGTCTGGGGAAATCAGTGGGTGTTTGCTGATTCTGGTGCTTTGCAGAGACAAAGAGACAGTCATGAGAAGGCCAAAAACTTTTTTACTCAGTTAAGCAACTCCTGTTAATTGGTTTCATCCTACAGTGAGGAAAAGTTGCACTTAATAATGAATTACTCATGACTAATGAAGATGGATGCACTTTTGAAAATAAAAGAATGACGAACTGTGCTGAGGAACATTTGGGTTTCATAAACAGGGCAGCTGCTGTGTGAGAGACAGGATCATTTACTGTAACTATTAAAAACATGTGGTGCTCAGTCCAGCGGTTCTATTCCTGTCACGCTCCCGATATTTTTGGACGGAGCTGTAACTATACGTCTCTCAGTTTCTTTCTTTCCCTTCATCCCTTTCTCTTTCTGGCTAAGCCTCCCTGGCTGGGCAGCTCTCCTCTGTAAGAGACATTACTTCCTGTATGATCTTAGTTTGTTTTTTTTCTTTCTCTGCCTTTCTTCAGAGAGCCTGCCTGCCTTTTATCTGGTTCTGTCTGTATGCAGATGGATAACTAATTAAAGAAAAATAGAACTGAAGCAAAATAAGCGAAAATATTTAAAATTTTAATGTTCATTGTACCAGAGGGTAGTTTTGGAAGCCGGGGATTGGAGCCCAAGGATTTCCGCCTGATTTATAGCTGAGTTGCTGCCCAAAGTGGAAGAGTTTAAGCATCTCTGGGTCTGACTGGAGCAGAATTGAAAGCTGAGGGTGAATTTATGAATTTATGGTGTTATGGTGAATTTACTGAAATGTCCACTCCTGGGAATATTGTGGCATTGTGTTAGCACACACCTGAATGCTACTGACCTGCAAACTGCCAAAACTAATGCTTTTATAGAGATGCTCAGACTTATCAATCATCAGTACGCTTAACCTCTTAATTCCTAACCTCTGATGTTAGTAAGGGTGTACTTACTAAATCCAGGAGGTTCCTATAGAGCAGGGGTGGGCAACTTCAGGACTCGAGGGCCGGTGTCCTGCAGGTTTTAGATATCACCCTGGGTCAACAGACCAGGCCTGTGGAGAATAAAAGACATGTTGAGGAGGTAATTTAGCCATTTGAATCAGCTGTGTTGGATCAAGGACACATCTAAAACCTGCAGGACACCGGCCCTTGAGGCCTGGAGTTTCCCACCCCTGCTATAGAGGAAGGACAAAGAGTCGTGTGAAAACTGTTTTCTGCTAGTTCCAGGTTCTTGGAAAGCAGCTGAATAATAAAGAGGACAGCCACAACAGGAACCTGTCCAGCAAGCAGACTGGGCTGGGTTTTCAAAATAAGGGCCAGGAGATTATCCACTAGTAATCTGATTGCATATGGTGATGAACCATTAAAGACATATAAACAAACATACAGAAATGAGTTTCCATATAATTGAAAGTATAAAGTCTTTGCGTGGGAAATACTGAAAGTTCACCTGTAACTCAGAAACTTTAAACATTCATAACAAAAATCTGCTTTCTGTACAATTTACATGTGGTTATAACCTTAAACTGCTAAAATAGTAGTATAGTTTTCAGCAAGCATTAGCGGCATTAGTAAATACATTTCCTACTCTGTGCAACAACTGAGCAGACGAATGAAAATGTCTTAAATTACAAGAGACCTTGTGGTTTAATTTAATAGCTAAAGGTTAAAGCTGATAAGTTAAGCATGACCACATGGGTTAATAGCATAAGCACAAAAAAATTACTGTCGAGCAAGACAACATTAATAACAGTGGCATTGTTCTGTCACTTGCAGAGATGTTCATTATTTTTAAAAAAAAGAAAAAAAAAGAAGGAAATATTTGACTTTCCTCCTCTGTGAGTTATCTTTTCCCCACTTTTTCCCCTCTTATTCTTTCTACTCTAATAACTCACCCCCCCCCCCCCTTTCCTGTTTGGAAAATCTCTTCTCCCCTCCTCTCTCTCCTTCATTCAGCCCTCTGTTGCATTCGGTGTCTCTCTCCGAATGCCTGTTTTTGGCTCCAGAACTCCCCCACGGTCCTTTCACACTGTTTTAATGTTAACAGGATGCTCTGTGTTCTGCCTCCTTACAGTCCCAAAGCAGAGCAAACGTGCAAATCTGTGTTTCTTCATGGCCGACTTAAGCTTTAACTCATCCCCTGGCTCAGCCCCAGCGGTCCGATCCAAGAATTTGATAAATCTTAAAAGCAGCTCGCCATGGAGTGCGTCTGTTTGGCATGCACACTCTTGTAATCACTTGTTTGTGGAAGATAATTATTTTTGATTTATTCTTTAGAATATTATCATCCCTACAATTGAATTGGAAGCTATCCTAATGACTTCTGTTTCTATTTTTTATTTTTTTGGCCACATAAAAACTGCGACCACGTTGTAGAACTTTACATAGTGAAAATGTATCAAAGTACTTGGGGAAATTCGTAGTAGATACCAAAAGAGTTTTTCATGTCAGTCTCCAAACATGTTTGTTTCTGCTGTAAAGTTTTAACATGGGCGTCAATGGATATTGATCGCCTTTGGGGGCACCCTCAAGTGGCCATTAGAGGAACTGCAGTTTTGGTGCTTTTGATCCACATCTGCTTCTCTCAAGAAATGAGAGTTGTGCTTTAGAAGTGCTGATAGTTGGTTTTTGTCAACTTTTACCAGAGCCAAGCTAGCTAAAATTTCCCCATTATCACTTCTAACGTATGCTAACCTACACCTTAACCCACTTACCGTACAAAGTCAGTTACAGATTAAAAGGAAATCTTGCTTTTTTGAAGGAAAACCAAACAGTACGATCTTGTTAGAGAACAAAAACATTTTTTTCGTATGGTTTTGCAAAGGAAAGCATGTGCAATAACAACAACAATAAAACAATGCTTGCAATGACACTCAAGCCCATAATGAGAAAATAAAATACCCAGACAGGCAAAAAATATTCACACGTGCTGACACTGTGAATAGATTAGATCATCTCTGGCTTTGTTGTTGTGCATCAGCGGCAGCTTAAAAGAGAGGAAAGGCCACGCTGACGATCGGATTAACGCTGCCGGCAGACTCCAGGTGACAGAGCTAAGCTGCTGCGTGCACGCATGTCTCCCGCCCGGCTGCTTCAAGCACAGTCCAAAATGAAAGCTGTCATGTAGAAAACGCCCCTCATTTGATTCAGGACTAGCTAGACATGATTCAGAGGTTTAAATGTAAAGATGTTGGTGAATTAAAGCAGCTTAGGCTTGTTTCTGACCCAGTGACACACAGCTCCTCTTTTAGAGAGAAGGATGTTACAAGTTAAACATTTTTTCCACAGTTTAATGATGTCCTAACATGTATTCTTTTCTTTCTTTTTTTTCCCTCACAGAGAAGACGCCTCAGCTCGTCGCTTTCCTATCTCATTGATCACCGACGACAGCTTTTCAACTTCGGTAAGCCAACACAGTTTTAACATGAATCCTTCTCAGTATTTTAGTTAAAAACACAGCTTCAAAGGTGTTACAGTAACAACATTGAATAAATTCATGAATGGCTGATGAGTTATTTCACTCCAGAACAAAGAACATAGACACAGTGACTCATGCTCTGAAAAGCACGGCATAGGGGAACAGTCGGCTACAAACATAACGTTTTTCCATACAGGACACAGCTAGGGCCCTTGTGAACATAATAATGTTACCCACAGCTGGCTCAATGATATAAATACCATACTAATACAACCTGAACTACAGCAACAACAAAAAAAACTTTACTTAAAAAAAACTTTATCCACTTATTTAAAAAGTGGATATTTAAATTTATAAGTGACATCTCAATGCAATTTAGAAGTAGGTGTAGACCCTACAATATTACAGAAATAATGTTCAGCAACTTATATGAAACTCATTTTTGCATGTCACGCTGCAGCTAAGCATGTTTCAGTTTGACAAGGATGCAGTTTCATGCAAAATAAAGTCAGCGGAGAGCGATGAGTTGTTTTCTACTCTGGTCTTGAACAACTTAATAAATGTGCTCCATCCGATTTTACCTCCATGAGATAAAATGACGCACCATCGCTGCCATCTGCAGAGCCACCTTATATACATATAAACCTACTAGAGACATCGCTGATAAACTCTGGCTTAATGAGAGCTTTTAAAGTGACATAAAGAAAAGAAAAAGCAAAAGCAGGAAACCTGCTGCCAGATTCACTACTTCTGCTCATATGCCCCCATGACATTTCACACTCAGTTTTCCCATGACTCATGGGGCCCAGGGAGCCGGCTCTAAGTGACTGCACTCAGCCAGAGGATCAGCTTGACTATTGTCAAATATATATATATATATTTAAATATAATAGAGGGGGAATTATGCTCACAAAGAAGAGAAATGATTGTTTGCGTTGGTGTCATGACGGATATTTTTGTATGCCAAAAAGGAGTCATTAAGCTGAAAGTCTAATCTTGTGTTTTCCCGCTGATATGTGTTTGAGTGGCGTCACAGAGAGAGAAATGACAGAGCGAGCGGCAGGACGGAGATTTCACAACCATCTGTTTCTATATCTAGCTTGTGTTAATAACGTGCTCGCTCCTAAGCAACGACTTCTGGATGCATTTGAGCTGTGTTTGTTTGCGTGAGCCGGTGGGTGTTTGTGTACGTGTCAGTTGATTTCTAGCAGATTGTGTGCGTAGGTGTAGGTGTATACAAGCGCGGTAGTGCAGTAATTGGCATCAAAATTCACTTCGGTTTGGGTAATAAAGAGAGGGCTTGGGCTGACAGACAGGAAGTTTTGAGAAACACGGCGGCGAGCTTGTGCTGTGTAAACATGTCACAGTTGTCCTGTTTGTCCTGGCAGCCGTTTGTTTGATGTGTCAATAATAGAAAGTTATTCAGTTCACAAGTGTAATTCCAGCTCTTCATGATCATGAATGGTCCACTGTCTACTTGGTGGGCACGGTAGGCTGGTAGAGATTTGCCTCCACTCTTTAATACCATATTAAAAACGAAATAATAAGCATAAAAAAAAACGAAATTATTAGCACTGAGCCTTCAGGAGATACATCCAAAACGAGCTTTGATGTATTTCACAGCTATAGGGCTTCGTTACGCTGTCTTTAATTCACATAGTTTTCTTTTCTTTAACTGTCTGTCGATATGTGCGTATCTGAGGATCCTGGCAAAGCTGTACCTCAGCCTCCAAGTGTTGTAAGTAATTAAGTAAGTTTATTTATTTATTAAATACTTTTCACATACAAACAGTCAAAAAGTAGTGTAAAAAAAAACAAGTAAAAGAACTAAAAAATGAAGTGGCATAAAAACAAGAAAAAAAAACACCTGTATGGTGTTCAGACGCTGAATTCATTTCTTTTACACCATCTTTACTGTAGACCCCGTCTACATGTCTCTGAGCAGTAACTTCATTTCAGTTGACGTCAGGTCAGCGATTCCTCTCTGATATCCCAGTTTGACTCGGCGCAGAGCAAACCATCTCCAGCCGAGATGAACTGAGTCATCTCTTGGGTTTGAAAGCCTCACCTTTACTCCTCCAAACATACCTCTGGTCATTGTGACCAAGCATCTCAGTCTTTGTCTCATCTCTCCATAAAACCTTTCTCCAGAAGGCATCTGACTTGTCCATTTGGGCAGCTGCAAATTTTAGTTGAACATACAGTATAGGTGTCGATTTTGGAACAGGGGCTCCACCAGGGGGAGCAGTGATTCTGCCAATTACGCTGACACCATTGAATGCACAGGTTCACCTGACACAGATGTGCCGGGGAAGATACTGCAGAAGCAAACAGTTTTTGATCATGCAGTTTATTATGCTTGACTGTGTTGTTTTTCTTTCGATGTGTGTTCCTTATGTATCTAAACAATCTGGCTGTAACCTTTTTTGAAAAGCAAAAGGTGTGGGAAACGACAATAGGAGCCAAGACTAAACTGGAAGGGTTGCAAGATGATTAACAAAATTAGGAGTTTTCTCAAGTTTTCTTTTTCTTTTATTGATTATTTTTGTAATCAAAGCATGAAAGGCATACATTCTTGATTTATTTCTCTTTTAAATCCTGCTGTGTGGTATTTTTCTTACTGTCATAGCAACTAAAGAGTCTACATGCAAAAATATATAATTAATACCGCCCCCATTAGCACCACCAGCAGCATAAAAGCCTAAAATGACATCTAGAGCCCAACCTGTAACCAGCTATCAGGATATTGATGAGTTAAATGGCTCCGCTCCCATTTGTGAGCCCCCCCTCCCGGATCCTGCAGGCTCTGCTGACCTCTTTGTGGATCCATAACGTGGTCAAAGTCACACTCCTCTACTGGTTGCACTGGCTGTTATATCACCATGGAAACAATGACATCACTGCAGGATGGGGCTGATGCATGCCAGGGAACATCTACTGCTGTGATGAGGTTGGGGGCTGAAAATAAAGGGTGCAGAAAGCCAGCAGTTGCTTTCAGTTAAACTCAACCCTGAATTGCCTTAAAAGGGGGAACATCAGTTTGCAGGTGTGGGTTAAAATGAACTGCATAGCACACATTAATGAACTTACTGTTGTCATTGTTTTCGAGTGAGGAGCATTTAGATTACATAAAGTGAATATATTGTCATGGTTACTATGATGATGACTAAGCACCTGTATGGGTTTGTTTGTGTGATGAACACATATCAGTTCAGGCTACATCGTGTTTTGGTGACAGCTGCAGCAGGCAATGTGTTTAACTAATGCACATATGTACAAATTTAAAGGATTTTTTTCAAGCTTGGAGAAATTTTGGAAGGGTCAAGGAAATTAGCTCAGAAATTACTAACAGTAATAATAAGTTAAAGTTAAGTTAAAACCTACCAAGTATAACTTACATACACCAGTTAGACATCACATTATGACCATTACGACAAGCATAAGGATTTGAGCAAGTTTGACAAACTGGCCAGATTGTGATAGCTAGATGAATCGTTCCGAGCATCTCCGAACCTGCAGCTCCTCTGGGTGTTCCCAGTCTGCAGTGATCAGTTTCTGTTGAAAGTGATACAAGGAAGGAACAGCACTGAACCAGAGACAGGGTCATGGGTGGCCACAGGTCAATGATGCGCACATGGGCAGCTAAGGCTGGCCCGTATGGTCTGATCCAGCACACAAGCTACTGCATATCAAATTGTTCATCACAGCTTGTTGCAGAAGAACGTGCATAGCCACAGATCAGTCAGAGTGCCCATGCTAACCTCTATCCACAAGTTCCCACAATGGGTACATGAGCAGCAGAACCGGACCATGAACGATGGAAGAAGATGGCCTCGTCTGATGAATCAGGTTTTCTTTTACATCATGTGGATAGTTGGGTTGATGTGCATTGCTCACATGACCGGCAAGTGTCATGGTTTGAAAACAAACTATGTATCTAAGCACTGAAGACCATGTGCACCAGTTCATGGAAAAAGTACTCCCTGCTGGCTGTGGACTCTTTCTGCAGGATAATGCACCCTGCCACAAAGTAAAAATGGATCAGGAATGGCCTCAAAATTCCCCAGATCGCAATCTAATCCAGCATCTATGACGTGCTGGACAAAAGTCTGATCCATGGAGCCTCCACCTCAAAACTTACAGGACTTATCAGTCAAATCAGTCATCCAGTGTTGTTATATTGTCCTCTTTAGGGACATGTATGTGGACATGTTGAAAAGTTTATTAGTAAAACTGTATATATGAACCCCAATCATTACTGACAAATTAAAGGTTATATCCCACAGTCCCACAATTTTACGATCCCTTTTGAGGAACAACTTATCAGCAGTGGGGAGGAAGAACTCCCTTTTAACAGGTAAGAGTCCTTCATGAGACCCAAGAGCTCGGGGAGAGGCAGCCATCCACCATGACTGGAAGAGTGTGATGGGGAAGAGAAGAGAAAAAATAGAGCACCGAGACACGAGGCAGCAACATAAAAGACATTTTAAAAAACTAAGTAATCGTCAATCGTCGAGTTTTATGAGTCAATAAAAATCTTATTTTACCATGTATGAGTCTAGCTCATCTTCTTGGCAGGAGATACATGGACAGATCTGGACTGTGACCAAAGAAAGGGAAGGAGACCCGGATACAGTCACTTAGATCTCTTGAAGCAGTTATTTGATAGGAATGCAGATACATAGTGATGTAAACACAGCAAAAAGAAAGGCTGGTGACATTAGTTTTTGATACTCAGGTTATTGTTTAAAGTATTAATAAATAAAAAGTAGGACACAAACAACCTTGAGCTTTTTTACAGTTTTATTATCACGTGATTTAAAATATTTAATGTATTTTTACTGAGTAATATCAACATTATCTAGAAAACAGTGCTTTTAAAAGAGGTGCTAATATAATCTCAGTGCACCTCTACCCCAGTTATTACGGCACTTAATCTGTAAGGAGTGGATATCACCCCTGCCTCGTGTTCACGGCTGTGAGTTTGTGTGTGCGCGTGCCTCGCTCATCGTGCTGCTCTCCAGCATTTACACAGTTCATTCACACTTCGCTGAAGGCACTCATTACGCTTCATACCCCCCCAGCCCCCCGCCACATGTTCTGCTGAGTCAGCAAAACATAATCTGTCCATCTGCTGCCAGAGGAGGAAGCCACTGGATTCTGGGTTGATTACAGGTCACGGGAAACTTTTTTGTCCTTTAGTACTTCACAGTTCTTCTGTTCAGTGTGACAGTCAGCCATCATTCAGTGCACCAATGCGCGTGTAACAAGCTGATTTGCTTGAAAAAAGACACGAACAATAAATAAAATATCTATATCTCTATAACACGTTCATTTCATACAGATATTCAGTAGATACTATCGTGAGATTAGTCTGCTTGAAAGCAAATAGAAGAGATTAAATTATACTGTTAATCTGTAGTGTGGTGTAGAAAATCTTACCTAGTGACCGTGCTGATCCTAGCTGCAAACACAAAGGTTCTCCAACACACACACACATTCAAACACACACTCGGCCTCTCCCACAGAGGATTAAGGCCAGGTTGGCCTACTGAGACAGGCTGCCAGAGATTCCATCCTCCATCCTAAATGGATGGTGACATTCCGATGTGAGTGGCGCTCTACGGAGGCATGATGGGTGACCCAGATTGGGGTGGGGTTGGAAGGGGGGATGAGGTGCAGACAGGGAGGGAAATGTGGTGGGATTAGAGCTTGGGTGGTGCGATGAGATGCTGGGGGTGGAAGGTAGAGAGGAGCGCGGCAGGGGGTCATGAGAGCGCGAGACGATGACAGTAAAAGAGGAAAGAAAGACGAAGAAGAGAAACCCGCTCATGTCCGATTAGCCTCAGGCCTGCTGCCACACCTTCTCTTCTTCTTCTCTGCGAGCGATCACGCTGGAACGTTTCATTTAAGGCATCAAACTCGAGATGTGATGGAATTTGACGGATCACTTTTGACTCCTAGTGCTGTTGAGCTAACCCTCTAAGCATTAGAAAAATGTGATGGTCCTCATGCTGTGCTATTGCTGTTAGGATTGTATCTAAAAAATGCCTAAAAATATAAAGATCAAACTTCATTTTGTTGTACTTTGTCTGTTCAACCCTGCAGAGTGTATTTCTTAAAGTATCTTGTGTCTTAAAAGAGAGGGATTGCTGTGGGAAACATGAGAGGAAAACCGTTATAGGGCTTTTCATCACTGCAGAATACGCCTCATTTAATCTTCAAATTTTTTGGTGTTGTGGTTGGAAAATAGCCACTGCAGACTTTATCCCTTTCTAACACACTAAGATTGGTAAACAACCAAGGGGAACCGGTGCGAGAGGGCAATGTCGAATCATGTTAAGTGTACGAGGATGACAGGGTATGCCTGGAAAGCAAGGTCTGGAGAGTTGGCAAAGCCAAACAACAGAAAAAAATAGACAATTTGGGGTGACTTCAGTATAAAGTGTTACTTAAGTCCAAAGGTCACAGAATAAATTAAGTATAATTCTAATCTGGGGATTTAAAAAAATCTGAATTTGCTTGTTTATACACTCACCAAACACCATATTAAGACCATATTAAAGTAATAGCATCACAGAGTTGCTATTTCCAACTACTCATCCATGATGAGAATCTCCATCTCCACCACATCCCAAAGGTGCTCTACCAGACTGAGATCTGCTGACTGCAGAGGCCATTTGAGTACAGTGAACTCGGTGAACTTTCTGACACCTGATGGGTGTGTTATGGGTACACTGTGGACATAAATAGATGGACATAGTCAGCAACAATACTCAGGTAGGGTGTGGTAATTAAAGGATGCTCAGTTGGTACTAAGGAGGCCAAAAGGTGCCAAGAAAATATCCACCACATCATTACACCACCAGCCTGAATCGTGATAAGGCAGGATGGATCCATGCTTTTATGTTGTTTAAATCAAGTTACATCTGAATGTCACAAAAATTGAGACTCACCAGACCAGGCAACAATTTTCCAATCTTCTGTTGTGTAGTTTTGGCAAATCTGTGTGAACTGTAGCCTCAGTTTCCTGCTTAGCTGACAGGAGTGGCACTCAGTGTGGTCTTCTTGAGATTACTTGAGTTACTGTTACCATCCTATCCGTTGAAAGGAGTCTGGCTATTCTCCTCAGGATATTTGCTCTTTCATACCATTCTCTGTATACTGATCACTGTTGAATGGAGGATGCAGAATGGAGAACAAATCACCTTTCTTCCTCATTTTGATGTTCAGTTTAAACTTCAGCAGGTCGTCCTGATCATGTCTGGATGCTGTTTAGAAGCACACCAATCCACACGCGTTTCTTGAATGTCTTTGCTTTAATTTTATTTATCAGTATCCTTAAGAAGTATGGAAAAAATACATGTTCTGCTCCTAAGGTCAATGTGTAATTTAATAGTACTGTAAACAGGCAGTACTCTTTAATTGAAGATTTTAATTGGCCCAAACCTGTTTTTTTACTCAGCGTCTTTATTTAAACAGCCAGGGTTTATGACATCCTTTGCAGGGACAATGTGTGAATGCCAAGTGTGGCACAATATTGCTGAAAAAGAAGCTAAAAGCAGGTCAGAGCGGTTCTGAACCACCATGAGCACCATGTGGCTGTCAGCGCACCAGTTTTCTTCCTTAGCAACAGCTGGGACTAGACTGAGCCCTGGGCTGAGATTTTTAGTCTCAGACAGTTTGGCCTAGTATCTTTGAGTGTCAGTAGGTCTTCCTTCTACTCCTTCTTCATCTCTCTCTCCCCCTCTCTGTCTGAGCCTCACACTGCAGCAGACATTAGCCCCGATCACTGCGGGCCTGTCATCATGCGACGCTGCAGGGTGGGAAAGGAGACAGGAAAGGAGTGTAAGGATGAGGCGACACAATCGCTGGCGTGATGGTTATTTTTATTCCATATTTTGGGGGTATAATAGATGTATTAACATTCTGCTGAAAGTCTGACTGACCGGCCCCTGCCTGCATGAAGGTTGTGCCTCAGAAGGGAGAGGAAGAAGAAAGGAGTCTTCTTGATGGTTTGTTATGATGAAATAATTTGCAGCTGCTTGTTTATAATGATCCTGTTTAGGGAGAATGGCAGACACGGGAGGCAACATTATGTGTTTGCTCTGGAGGGTAAAACATAGCTTTAAGTGAGGCTTGATTAAAACGTAGATACTTCAGCAGCACGTACTTGAATGCAACAAAGCTTTTTGTTATTGTAATTGGTGGAAATGTGGTCGCTGTGTTATATTCCGAGATTTGTGTGCATATTGAGCACTTGTTTGCTACTGGAAGGGTGAGCCTGTCAAACCCATCTGCCGGACGCCCCCCCCCCCCCCCCCCCCCACTACCCTTAAGGCCTATTGTGGTTGTCATGGTAACAGCCTCCTTATGGGATATCAAGGGTGTGTTCAACCATGGTGTCATAGCCTCTCTACAGCAGAGTGTCACATATTTTGGATTAAAAATTGAGAGAATTTGTTTGTTTTTTACTAATCACCTGCTTTTTTTCCATCCCTGCACTCTGTGGGGGAGGTAGGGGGGGTTAATCCAAATAATCGTACAATGAAGGCATGTATTTTATCAGGCGGTGTTGCCATATACACCTTTATGATAAAAGCAAGACCAAACAAAGAAACTAATGAATCATGACAAATGAGATGCACATATTCTCCCTCCTGTCTCAGCACGTGGATGCTGAGACAAAGGCCGGCCGGTAAAGCATCAGCGTAGCACACTGCTCCCCCTAGTGGCCAATTCTGTAACCTTCACCTCGCAGGGGGTTTTCTCCCTCTTATTGTTGCAGCAAAGACTCATCTCTGCCAAGACTCATCTGTTTATTATTATTATTGTTATATAATACGTTGTCTTTTCTCCCGCCCCCCACCCTTAGACACAACAGGTGACCCTTCCCCTCCCCGGATTCCCAGCAGGCAGGTATGGCAGACGGTCAGCAGCCAGAGGGGCACTGGGCCTCCAACGGCCAGGAGAATGGCGAGAATGGCTACTCCGCCTACAGCTCGGCCTATAGAGAGAATGGATACCACGGGGGCGGGGCGGCTGCGCATCCTGGGACGTCAGGTAGGCGTGCGGTGTGTTTGCGAGCGTGTGCAAAAGCATGTGCATGCAAAGTTGTATCAATGGCATTGATTGGAGTGCCTGCACACACCACCAGATGGGTCTACAGCTGTGAGGATTGTGATTGGCTCCATCATGCTGGGCAAGAGCAGTCAATCCCATGAAGGCACTTGAACAAATGAAAGTGTTTTGATTGAATGAGTGCTGAACATGGACAGTCTGCTGTAGCTGTGTTAACAAAGGCAGAAGGACATTGGGGAAGGTACAGTGATGGCTCTTTGGTGGGTGTAAAATTGGTGATTCCCAAACGGTGTCAAGTGGAAGGATCAGCTCAACTCGTCTGACAAAGTAGAATTACAATAAGATTTAAGAGCGCAGTGGACCGGATTGAAATTGAGCACAAAAGTTAACAAATAGCAAAAAATGAAAGTAGCCAAAAAGGGGAAAAAAGTTATCAAAAAAGTTATGATTATAAACCTACTAGGCTATAGATAAACTGTCTCGAACAGTTATAATCATCATCAGCAATCAGCAAATGCACAAAACTGGAGGGTTAAATTATTATATAATTGCAGTATATTATTATACTGTGAAAAAGTCTTGAGCCAGCCTCTTTTCTTTATATTTTACTAGGAGAATGGGAAATAGGTGCTACTTTTCTGTGTCTACATTTTGACAAGACTTCCAACACCACTGGCTGACATGCAGCTCAAGCCATGACAGAGCCTCCACCGTGTTTCACAGATGGCTGTAGACGGCTGTCACTCTCGTTCCTCTCTACTGACCTCTCCAAACATAGTCAATATTTTAGGGTTTGGGTTTTTTTAAGCCTGATACTTCTTGTTTTGCCCAGTTTCTTCAATTATTTTTAAGCACACTGTGCACACCATGATGAGATATGCAAATTTTTCAAAATCTCTTTGGAAATCACATTGTTGGTGCAAAAATACTATTTTATGTGAAACTGTGTTCTCTTTGGTATTTTTCAGAGATTCAACTAAAGAAATGAGAACAAATTATGTGTTTTTATGACAGGCTGCTAGTAACAAAGTGTCTAAAGATACAATTTAAAATTGGCTCTTTGCCAAGTTGTCTGTTATATGTAGACACAATACAACTGGTTCATTCCTTGAGTGTTTTATACTTGAATGATTCACAGGTCAGTGTAAGTGGCTAGCAAACAAAAACATTCCTCTTAAAATGGTCAGGTACAACGGCTGGACTAAAAATGCCAATGTCCAACTAATCACTTGAAAGTCCTTCAGAAAACCTGGAGAACTATTGTTCAAGAGCCCTTTAAAAATAAAAATTAAGTCTGGCTTCATTCGAGCAAAATATAAAGAAACAAGGGGTGGCTTTAAGACTTTTGCAAAGCACTATACATTGTTTAAAGTGTCTATTCTCAACCAAATTAGTTGCCTGCAAAAAAAAAAAAAAAAAGACAACATTAAAGAGACAGCATTACATCTACATGGAAACAGCATCAAGATCCACTTCTCTGCGGTCCAGCGCCTGCATGATATCAGGGTTCCAGCAATGTTTGCTGCCAATAAACAATTAAATTGTTTACTAAAAGCATTCATAAAAAGTTGAGCTGAATAAATAAATACCAAGAAAACTGAATGAATAAACCCTTAAAACAGACAGAGAAAAACTAGGCAAGAAATAAGCTTGTAATTTAGATAATGCAGTGCTACAACACCATGTTAGAATTTAAATGAGAACCAATGATATTTGTGCCACCGTCTAACAAGTACATTTGGAAAGTTTATGATGTGTTGATCTTGGGTGTATTCTGCCTTATAAAGCTTAATAAAATGTTTTTTAAAAAAAGAGTTTCTCTGCATTATTTGGGTAAGTTAGTGAGTCTGTTTGCATTTATCCTCAACGGGCAGCAAACAAAAGGCCCAACTTATTAAATCTCAGAGAAAGCGTCCAGTCTTGTGCTGAGCACTTACCATTCATGAAGCACACACAACCTGCCAAGCTCTGAATTCAAAGGGAGACCTCACAAAGAGATAAGGTCAGCAGAGTGAATCGTCTTCATTTCCTTCCTCCCATCCATGTCTTGTCTTCCCGGTGTGTGTCTCTCTCTCTCTCTCTCTCCTTCGCAGTGGATGACTCAGCCAATTTGCCTCCCTCCCCTCCCCCCTCTCCATCCGCTGAGCAGATTGGGCCCGTGGCACAAGGTACACCTATACACACTTAAAGCCAATCCAGGCTATCCAGGTTGACGGTGTGAATGGCTGTGAGAGTGGCACAAAAGTCTCTAAAAGACACCCAAGCACACTTGTCCCTAGGATTTAAAGATGGGGCACCCTCTTCCTCCTCTCTCTCTTTCCTTTTCCCCCTACCGTTTAATTTCACGGTGCTCTGTCTGCATGCCAGCTGATCGTCATATCACCTTTAAGGAGTTTGGAGCATGCATAGCATGCCGCCCTGTCCTGTCCACACTCCTGCATTGGTTTAAAACACATAACAGTTAGTTGAGTCGTGAACCCTGCACACAAGGACTAGGCAACACAAACACTCTTCCTCCATTCAGGCAATGGTACATTACCAGCCACTGGAGTCCTTCATTTCATTAGTCTGTTTTCCACCCCTCAGCATCTCCTCTGTTGTTCCCTATCTCACTCTGTGTATTGATTTTTTCCAAGTCTGACTTTCAGCTATTTAACATATCTGCGTGTTTCTTCTTGACATGTGGCATGCAATTACAAAAGTGTAGCGTTGTATAGTCTCACTGCATGGTTTAGGGTTAGTTTCTGTACTCAGTGTCTGAAATTTAGATCTGTGGGATAATGAGATATGCTCATAGACCGTATTAAAAAGATTGAAATAGCTACTTTGACAGCTGGTTTGTGAAGTAATGCTTTTTTTTCAGTCATTGCCATCTTAGCTTTTTGAAACCTGAGGTGGGAGAGAATGAATCTGACTCTGAGGTCGCGCGCTTAATCATACACTGATTTCGTGTAATGTTGACTTTAAATGGCTTTTCTACTCAATAAGAATTGAAGCTAGTACATGAGACGCCACACTCTTCAGGAAAATGTCTGCTGGGGTTGTAAAAGACGTGACAAATAAGGTTGTTATTGTTCCATCTGCTAGACGAGTCGCCCCCTTCTGGCCAACAGGTTTAAAGTTATACTATCTAAACTTTGTACCGCTAGATCTCAGTAAATTGTAGATTGCAATCAAGGATTGATATAGGACAAACATGTTTTAGTAATCAAAGACAGATAAAAAATATTAAAATTAGACTGTACCCCATAACCGACGAGGCTGGTCGATATGTTTCTGCTTCTGTGTGTGTAAGAAGTGCAATGTTGTACACACTATATTTTAAGATACTTGAATAATATCAACACTTAGCAATAAATAAGGAAAAAGAAGGAAATCTAATACAGTCAATTAACAATCAGTTTAATATTTTGTAGTCACCTCATAAGCTTTGGGCACTATTCACCTGTAGTAAGTGCTCTCACACGGCAAAAGCAACTCCGGACCAGATCGCCCGATGGTGTAGGCAGTTAGGCCACTGTTTACCTCAGCTGTCAATGCTGGGTGAGAGGCATCGTGCTTTATTTACTTTGAAGGAGGCTGTAAAACTTTGTGAAAGGAGGTCAATACAGATCAGTGAATCAAGGAAGCTCATTTCTCTCCAATGACAGTGATACTGAGGTCAGTTATTGAGGCTATCCTGAAATTTTATGTTAGTGAGTGCTGCTGTTAGCCTCACTTAGCTGCTATTAGCCTCTGTTACCTGCTGTTAGTGAAACTTTCTTTGAAGTGAATGTAACATTGTTGGACTCAGACATTTAGTGAATAAACTCTCATACTATGTAAGAACCTAATCAAACTGTTAATCAGAAGTAAAGTGTGAGTTTTATTAGCCTATAACCAGCTGTTGTTATTTTTAGCCAGCTCATTGTCAGTTATGGGCAAATATATAAACCGTTCTTCCTAGCAACTGCATTCAAGATGGCAGGGTGACATGGCAGCTTCCACAAACCAGCACCCACTCATATGTACTTTTAATAGCTTAATAATAACTTATCTATGCATATTTATAAGTACAATATCCCTTTTTTTATATTAAATAACCTCAAAATACAAATACCGACTTAACTTTAAGGCACTTTTCCGACACAGAGGCTATGCCCATCTTTTACGTACAGTCTATGAATAAAAAGACAGATGGTTTAGAGCAGGGGTCCCAGTCCACGAGGGCCGGTGTCCCTGCAGGTTTTAGATCTCACCCTGGGTCAACACACCTGAATCACACGATTAGTTCATTACCAGACCTCTGGAGAACTTCAAGACATGTTGAGGAGGTCATTTATCCATTTAAATCAGCTGTGCTGGATCAAGGACACATCTAAAACCTGCAGGGACACCGGCCCTTGTGGACTGGGATTGGGGACCCCTGTTATATACTGTTATATACTATTGTAGTAAGATGCTGTAACCGCTTCTACATCTAGTATGCAAACCGTTAAATATTATGTATTTAATTATAAAGACCAAGCTAGAAGTCTTGTCGATTGCATCCCATGCATCTCCATCAGAGCTGAAAGTATCTTGTAAACCATGTAATCCTAGTTTTGTCATCCTCCATGTCTCATCTATGCGTCTTCCTTCCCCGCCCAAAGATGATAAAGTAGAGGTTGTCAGTCAACAGCAGGATGAGAAGGAGGAGGCTCCAGAGGAGCTCAACAGTCACCAAGAGGATGTGACATATGAGCAGCCAAGAGATTTGCTCTTAGAACAAACAAATTATTTAACAGAGCCCCAGGCTTTGGGCTTCCAGCAAGCCCAAACCCCTGAGGCCCTCAATGGAGGAAGTCATCAAGGTGATCACAACCCATCACAAAAAGGTGTGTGTGGTTTTCTGTGTGTGCATACAGTTTGTGTGAGAGTACAGCGTGAGTGTACATCTGCCCGTAACCTATTTTGCATGCTCCTCTTGTGTTCTGTAGCGGGTTCAAAAACTCTTAATGAACTGTAATGCAACTGAGGCTTTGCTGCCAGCCTTCCTGCAGCTTTGTTGCTCTGAAATCCTTAAGCTTCCGCTTCAATACCTGAAGTTGCAAAATGACGTGGCAGCATTTTGAGTTTGTGCTTTTTCATCCAAAACATTACCATTTGCTTTCCATCGGAGCGACATCAGAACGCCCGATCAACCACATTACAGTCAATCCATTTCTGCACCTTTGTATTGCCAGCTACATTGCAAATGCAAATATCATTGTCTAAACTGTAAAGCCGTGTAGATGTAATTGTTGCTAGAATTATCGCTCTTTATATTTTTTATGTGGGTTTTGCTGGAATAATTGTGTGTGAAGCAGCTGTTTCTGAGAGTACCCACATGTATGGGTGCCTCACAAATCAGTCCTGAATGTATTTTGAGTCTGTTGTATCACTGCTTTCAGTTTCACTGTTGTTTTCATTTCATCCCAGAGCAAAAGTTAATTTCCTATTGTTGCTAAAAACACACTTAGGATAATAAGATTCACCCTCATTGCTCATCACTATTGTGAAACTTAATAAAGATTATATTGCAAATATTAGTTTTATAATTTGTGCACTGTAACAATTCATTCATATCCACAGTATGCCAATGTTTGCAGTAGAAATTGCAGTAACACCATTTATACATCAAATAAAAGTAACTTATTTTGATCACCATGTTGATGACCATATTTTATAAATCCTCCTGTATTGCAATAGGAATTCAGTGTGTTCGGGTATCATTTTCTTCTTGTCATCTAACATCATGCAACTCATTCCTTCATTCCAGTTCTGCACGCTATATTAGGTGCTGTGATCCCCCCTCTGTGCTGTTGTGGCCTGCCACAAAATACACTGTGCTGTGTGTATTGCTTGATGGAGAGCTACTGTATCTATGTGCAGACGGCGCCGGCTTGACTGTATTGGCTAGCTTTTGTGGATGCTGCAAGCAAAGCTTTTAGCTAACATGACCCGACACAAAGTTGTACAGTATCCTTCAAACTCGCAGCCCAGCCAGAAGAGAGAGTCAGTAAACCATCTTGTGAGTCCACTATGAAGGAAGATGAACCATCGCCACCTGAGAAACAAAGAGCAAAGGCAGAAGGAGAAGAACCTGCCTCGACTGGCCCTCCCCTTCTTTCTGATAGAGAGAAACCTCTCCCCTGCACTTCCTCAACAGAGCAGGGTAATCAAGACAGAGAGGGTGGGAAGGAAGAGGTCACTGACAGAAAATTACTTTCAGAGTCTAAAGAAAAAGAAGCAAAAGAAGTTGTTGTGACAGAGGCCTCATCAGAACTTATGGCAGAAGAAAAAGAAGAAGCAGGAATTATCTTACCAAGTGAGTCAGGGTCAAATATGAATGAAAGCAAAGAAAAAACTGATGTTTTTGAGGCGGTTAATAAGGAGGACCAGCATGGTGCAAATGACTGTAGATTGCATGACACACCACTGCTCACTGATATTCAAAAAACAGACCTTTCGCAAGAAACTCTGACGTCAAGTCCAGAACTTGACAGATCGGATGTTTCAGGATCAAAAACCTACTTTGACACATCCATGGAGGGTCGAGAAGAAGAGTTGCCACAAACCCAGAGCTATTATGAGCTCAGCACAACGGCAGAGACAAAATTAAGTGGAGATGATGAAAACATTGTGCAGAATATGGAGAAACAACAAAAGCAAAATGTCAACACATCTTCTGGTAAACTGGGACTGGAACAAAGAAGTCTTTCCTTGAACATTACTGTTGGGTCTTCAGCCGGACAGACGGTGAAGGAAGAGAAATCAAGGATCTTCATGGGAAGCTTGTATCCAATCAGTGGAAGCTATGATGAATCAGAGGTTTATCCGTCAACTCCATCTGTGGTGAGCCATCCACCTACATTTCCACCAGCTGTCTCCATTACCCCAACTAACACTGAAACACCTGAAAATATCCCCACCGTGGCAGATGAGCCCTTACCTTATGATAAGCACACAGATAGTTCTAAACAATCAGGAAGCCTCTCTGAGATGTTGGACCTGGCTGGTGCCCTACCTCGTCCATCCCTGGAGAGGATGGAGGTTGACTACATGAGAAGAAAGTCAGTGCCCGCCAATGTATCTGCCCTTGTGGGAAGTTCTTTAGCCAAGCTTGCCTTGACAGATCAAGCCCCAAGTGTTGTCTCACAAGAAAACCAGCTGGAGGAGGTGGGCTACTGTGTCTTCAGTGAGTATTCAGGGCCCATGCCTTCTCCCGCTGATGTACCCAGTCCCGGGGATTCTCCACACCAGCGTTTCCCTTCTGTAGAGGGGGAAGTAGAGGAGGATCTAGGGGATTTGAAAGCAAAAGATGTTTCAAAAGGAATACAACAACAAGATTACAAAGAGGTTACCCCTGTGATCGCTCAAATACCAGTGGTAGAAAAGAAAGGCTCACCAGTAAAGTCTAACCTGATCCTTGAAAAAGCTGTAACCAGTGGAATAAAACCGGATCGGCTAAGAATCCCAATGACTACTTCAAAAGACAGACTGAGTGAATTTCGTTTGGAGACTGGGTTGCCAGGGAACATAAAGATTCAAGCTATCCCTGAGGTAGATGTTGAAAAAGACCCATCAAGAGAAGCTTCACCTATCCCACCAGACAGTTCGTTCACTTTCGCGCCTACAGAAACTGGAACCAAGGTTCCTCCAACTCCAACAACCCCCAAGTCCCCAGATGACACATCATCAGAAACCCAAACTGCAGGAGAGAAAGCACAGAAAGATGACCCATCAGAGCTAAAAGCATCTGAAAACGTTGATAATAAACAGTCAGAGTTAGACAAAGAAAATCTGAATCCTGAGCAGAAAGAATCTGAAGAAAGAAGTGATGAACCAGAAATGCCAAACAAAGACTTGGCTTCAGGATTATCTCAGTCTTTAGAAGAGAGCACAGACAAAGCTAAGACAATCCAAAGTGGGCAACAGACCTCAAACACTGCTCAGGATTTAATTACTACAAAGCACACAGATGAGAAAAATGACCAGCAGCAAAACAGCAGTCTGGTGAAAGGCTCACCGAAGCTCCAAATATCTTCTCCGATCATCATTATCCCTCAAGCACAAATAGATGAAGAAGCAGAGGAGGAAGATGATATTGAGATTGCAGAGGAGCCTCAAGAGATAATGGAAGAAGCCCAAGAGCCGGATGAAACAAGGAAGAGTCAAACTGAAGAAGCTGGGAAGGAAGAGCAAAAGACAGAACAAGTGAGACTGATGGTGGATGACCAGATGTTGGAAGAAGATCCAAAGTCTGGAGCAGAAGAATGGAGTCACAGCGCCCAAAACAGTGACGAACCTGCAACAGACAGTTCGCACTTGTCTCCCTGCTCTGACCACGAGCTGACACAGCAAACAGAGGAAGGAGGCAGAGAAGACATGGAGGCAGATAAAATAGAAGAGGACTTAGACACAGATAAGGTGAAAGGGAAGACAGACGAGTACGAAGGGGTGAAGAAAGAGGAAACAAAGGAGGAAAAGAAAGGAACGGAAGATCATAAAATGATAGAAGAAGAGGATGGAAAGAAGGTGAGGAAGGTGGAGGAGGAGACCTCGGATGTTCTTAGCCAGACCGATCAAGCACCTAACGATGAAACCACCATGGACGTGTCCATCCTAGATACAGACAGTGGCTGGATGGATTCACAAGGTACCCAGAGTAAACCTGTTAATAAATCAGTTGTTTAAAAAAAGATTAAAAGCCTTTAAATGTTTATTTAGTTTAATAATTTTGGTTTAAAAACTTGCTAGCACCAGAAAACTTGTTTGGAAATGTCTTTTGTGCTAAGCTAGCTCCTAGCTAGCAAGGAGCGTGGAGAATTAGCCCTCTGTTGATCCTTCTCCACTGCAGATGATGACAAAAGTATTATGACTGAGCAAATCGAAGCCCTTCCTCAGCCCCAGAGCTCGACCAATAAGCCTGTGGTGGTGGACAGACCCGCTAAACGGGGCCCCGGCAGATCAAGGGCCACCACTGAGTCTAAAGTATCCCGCAAAGTACTGAGCCACCATCCACCAAGAGAGGAGATAAAGAAGAAAAAAGGTTCCAATTCTGTATTTACGCCTGAAATTTATAATCCTTGTCATCTAACCGAGGTATGCATGTCGGTATAACCTTGTCTCTCCTCTCTGCTAGTAGGCATCAGGAGGGCTGACCAGAGTAAGGTGTCAGCCCTCCAAAGTCATTCCCCGTCTCGAAAGGGTGTAGCCAAAGCGGCGGCCAGACATCCTAGGCCTGCTCTGCTTCACGGCTCTGCTAGACGCAAGGCCACAGGTGAACACTTTTCACCCGGAGTCAGTGCCGTGGATAGAGAGAGAGCAACACCCAAATAATTAAAGCATTTTTTCAAATGTAAATCAGTTTTGGATATGTGGCGTTTGATGTCTTTGCTCTCTCTCCATTGATGGCTCATTGAGGAATCAAGCAAGGTGCAGTGTAGCTGGCAAACATCATGTGCTGCTGATTTATTTTTTAAAGTTCTGTCATGTCTGGTCTGCTTTGGGTTTCTTTTTCAGTTTTATTTTTCTAAAAGCTTTAAACATGCTTTGTTTTTTCTCATTTTGTCAAACATGGAGTATTTGTTCCCGCTCTGCTTCAAATTCATGCTTTTATTTTTTCTGCTCAGTGATGATGTTATTCATTGTGACTGGTATTGAATAACTCTGGTTTAACACTTGTGTGCGTGTGTATGTCTCCTGAAAATGGCCGCATGTTTGAAGGTTGTGTGTTCTGTCAACAAGCGAAGTGAGGGTGACGTGAAATGTCGTGATACGTGTACAGAAGGTGCTTCTGTAATATGAATGTGCTCATATGTCCACTTTTTCACCTTGTATTCAGCAAATGTGCATTTGTGTGTGTCACACTGATGAACATGTTTGCTTCACAGGTGTGGAGCACCATCAGCCCCTCAGTGTGGCCCACCAGTCCAGGGAGAGGACCACTGTAAGTATAACAGTCAACGTTTATTATTTTTTGTCTTTCAATTGAAATCCTCACAAAGTTAAGGTTATTCCAAGAGTGTTTTCATCATCTCTCAGTAATATTGATCCCTAAAAGACCGCTTTCTTCTTATTGGCTACCCTTCACCTGGATTCCCGTGTGATTCCCATGTGTGCCTTTTTATTTTGGGGTTACTGCCTTCCTATAAGCTCAAATGGCTGGCTATTCTCCTCTGACCTCTAACATCAACAAGGCATCTTTACCCACTTGCTGGATATTTTCTTTTTTCAGACCATTCTCTGTAAACACTACTGATGGTTGCTTGGAAAATTAGATCGAATCAGCAACCATGCCTCATTTAGAGTCACTTAAATCACTTTTCATCCCCATTCTGATGCCCAGTTTGAGCTTCAGCAGCTTGATCATATCTACAGACCTAAATGCACTGAGTTGCTCCAATGTAATTTGCTGCTTTTGCATTAACAAACAGTTGAAAAGTTCTATCTAACAAAGTGGCTGGTGAGTGCATTTTCTGTACGACTTTAGGCCATGGCGTCTTCATATTTTCTGTTTTGTTTTTGGGCTTTCTTCTCTTTTTTTGCATGTCTGCTTTTCTCTCTCTCCATAATCATTTTGTCTTGCATGCTTGCTTCTGTCCTTGTGTCAGTCTCGACAGAGAAAATCTGTGAGTATAGACATCAAAAGTGCAAAAATCTTTTACATTTTACCATTGAAAACACACTTATGATGTGCAGCAACGAGCGACGCAGCTCATTCAAATGATTTCAGCCAAATTCTGTTTCGTGTTCCTTTCATTTCATTCCTAAAAATTATTAAATCACACAGAAATAATAATAATCCAATGTTCATGTGGTTCATTTGGCATATTTATAAAGACAACAATGTTCTTAGATATGTTCGGTTAGATCAAAACACACACGTACACAAACAGACTGTTTGTGTTTGAGCCACAAATAAACACATTGCATTTTTACTCCATCCTGTCTCAACTTTTCATTTCTCCATCTGCTTCTCATGCCTGTTTTCCATCCTGAACATCTTCCACCTACCCTGCATGCCTTTCCTCCCTGTTGTCATGGTCACGGTCAAGAGCCCCACGAGGGCGGTTGTATTAAAGATGGCAGTGCAGCGTCGGGGGTTTGATCGCGAGCCCCCCCGGCCCGGCTCTGCCTGTAGCCTTAAACGGAGCCCCCTCGTACAGGCGGAGCTCTGCGAGGCCCGTCCCTCCTCCGCGTGCTCCCGCCCATCACCTCTGTCTAAGAAATGGGTGGAGAAGGTAAAGTGAGGGTGGGGGATAAAAGCAAGGGTTGAGGGGTGGCTGTGACCAGCATGTGCATGCCTCAGCCTGCATCTCAACTCTGCTGTGTGTCTGTTAATCCAGGAGAGAGCGTACCGGAGCCCCGAGAAGAAGTCATCCCTCCCCAGGCCGGCCAAGTCTCTGACACGCCACATCCCGGCTGCTGAACAGGAGGACAACAGCACCCCCTCCAGGCCAACCTGTAAGAATCTCCACGGTCCAAAACCTTCAGATTGTTTGCTTCCCAGATTAATTGCTTCTTTACTCACCAGATTATTTGTATTATACTTTAACTCCCAACACCTTCCACTTCCCACCTGCTGTTTTACCCCTGATTTTCCCTTTTTATTCCCTTCTTCTGTAAAGCGTTCCGAACAGCGGACACCAGGTCTGGAAGAGCCCCTAGTATGGCAGGTAGAACACCTAGTAGATCCTTTTAGACCTTTCACACCATCTTCATCGACATCTGTTTATTAGTTTATACAGTTTATTTATGCTTGTTTGCTTTAATAACTATAAGATAAGGACTTATATTTTCCATAGAAGAGAGCATCATCCCTTCATCCCTGCAATAATACAGAGAAAACCCCAACGATCAGATGAACCCCTATGAGAAAGGTTTTGGCAACAGTGGGAAGGAAAACTCTCTTTTAACAGGAAGAAACCTCAGGCAGAGCTTGGCTCAGGGAGGGACAGTAATCTGCACAAAAGTTTAGGGTCACTTGATTTTGAAAGAAAAGCATATTTGTTTTTGTGTAACAAACATGAACTGGATTGGAAATGTTGCAAATGGCAACAGATATCTCTGTTTCTTTCTCAGTGGCCAGCCTTGTTTACCTCATGCAAGTTTAATGGGGCTGGATCATCAGAAAACTCTCACCCAAATGGTTAAAATGCGATGAATCTGGCCTTTTGGGTGTCCGGAAAGAGGTTTTCATTCAGCAGTGTGTACTACCCTTTTCATAAACAAGCACAATTCAGCTGTTCTGGGTATCATTTAATCAAACCACTCAACCAGCTGAAAACTTGTCAGGTCTGTGGATGCACTTGTCTTATTGCCTGGTTTTGTACCAGGATCTCCTCTTTCTCCTCCTCTGGTACAAAGCCATCTTGCCCTGTTCCGAGAAGGGTCGAAGATGTCCCCCTTTATGTGAGACTTGACTTCTCGTCCACATGCATCGAGACAGTGTCCCATATTTTGAGTGGCTCTACTGTACCAAAAAAGTAAATAGATTTTATTTTATTTATTTATTTATTTCCCCAAGAAATTCAAAGAGGGTAATCACACAGAACAGCAGCTGAAGTAATGTTTGATACAGGTGATCCTTAAGACCAGAAAAACTGCTTGTAAGAAGGTAAATTTAGTATGTCTGTGCCTTCCACAATGGACCGCTGGAACATGAGACTGATCGATTGACCTCATATGTTAGCACAACACTTTGCAGGTCTGTGCAAAAGTCTTGAGCCACCCCTCATTTCTTTATATTTTACTTCCAAGGTACCAGACTTTTTTGTAATTCTTTTAAAGTGCTCTTGAGCAATAGTCCTCCAGGCTTTCCTAAGCTCTTGGACATTAGACACACTTTTTATTTTTTCAAACGATGACATCACAATGGTGCCATAAAGATGTGCAAAACCACACACTGCATGAATGTATCCAAAAATCTCAGGTTTTTACAGCTTATAGAAGCCAATTTTAGTGCTTCAAGGTCATAGTTCAAAGGTCAGGGTGACACAAATTGGGAAAAAGCTTTAGTTTCCATTGGAAACAGGTATTTATAAAGCGTGTCTAAATAGGCTTTATCCACCCTGCAGTTATCTTATCAGAAAAGCAGGTGTGGATCACAGCAACAGGTGTGTTCCTTGTTCTCATGTAGGATAAAATCTTATTGGTTCTTCCCCGGTAACGCAGCAACAAGCCACCAGTAGCTAAATGAATTCAGCTGCCTGTGTTTGTGCTTTCAGGCTCCTGGGCAAACACTTGTGTGTGATCTTGGCTGTTTGCTTAGGTGGAAACTGAGCAGGTCTTTTTCAGTGCTGTGTTTCTCCTCCATCATCATCATCATAAGAAGCAGATGAAGGATCACTCCTTTCTATCCAATAGTTTGAAGGTTTTCTTTTCATTCCTCCTCCTTCGTCTTCTTATTACTGCCCTCTCTTCTCTTAAGGTACAGACTCGGCGCGTTCCCGATCAGTCCACAGTGGCGCCTCCACCCCGGGCTCCTCCGCCGTCACACCCGGCACGCCCCCTAACTACTCCTGCCGCACGCCCGGCTCGCGCACCCCGGGCAGCCACACGCCCAAGTCCTTCAGCGTCCTCCAGGAGAAGAAGGTGGCAGTGATCCGAACCCCACCCAAATCTCCATCCTCTGTCCAGCGGCAGCTGAAGGTCATCAATCAGCCTCTGCCTGACCTGAAGAATGTGAAGTCCAAGATCGGCTCCACCTCCAACATTAAGCATCAGCCGAAGGGCGGACAGGTAACAAGCAGCCCTGAGACACAGAGTGACTTTTGTCTTTGCAGCACACAGAAATAGAGAAAAACATCTGCAGGTAGAAAAAGCACAGATTTCCATAGATTAATGATTTCTGTCCTTATAAGTATTATGTGTGTACATAATTCTGCCACATGGGGGCAGTAAAGTACACATTTTAAAATAAAATAGGCTGCACAAGACTTTAAACTGCAAACCAATCACGATTTCACAGCTGTTTTTAACTTGAATTATTGTCAGTTCTTTGTATTATTTCCCTCAGTCAAAACATTTGACTATTTTTAAGAGATTTTTTAAATCCATCCTTTTGTCTATTATCATGACTCAGTATTACTGGATGCTCTGTGAGTATCAGAGTGTAGAAAAATCTTAAACAGCTCCTGCAAACCAGTAAAAAAAAATAGGCAGCTTTAAAAGGATGGGTTTTTATCTCCTTTTTCTCTCTAGAGATGTCATAAAATGCTCAAATAGTCTCCTCATGCTCTGCGTTTGCTCTCGCTCACTGTCTGGTGTGCCTCTAACCCACCGTCTGTGTGTCTGCCTCCCTCCGACTGTCCTCTGCCCTCTCCCTGTCCACCGTCATCTCCATCAGTCTGGATGAATCGTCATCAGCTGCATCCTTTCCCCTCTTCCTCCGTCTTCCTCCTCTTTCTTTCCCAACAATTTTCTCCCCGGTGACCTTCAGCTCTCCCAAAGTTTTTTTATTTTGTTTTTGTAACATAAAGCCTTCCTCCTAAGAACACACCGCCTCCAAGGAGCAGCCAGCCTGCAAAACCATTTGCCCCTGAGGGAGCTGCTTTCGTCACTGTGCAGGATTTTCCCTTCCAGCTCTGGGTATTAATAATTTCAAGCGTGCAGAATTACCTATGGAGGAGTCACATCAAGGTCACAGCATAAAAATATATCATCTCTCTTCCTTTTATCCACCCTTGACTTTCAGAAAAAGATGTCTTTTAGGAACCTACGAGATAAAAATTTTAGAGGATCTCAAGGTGGCCAAGCTGTTAGAATAACTGAGAGATGTTCCTTTGCAATGACGTACCTCACACATAAAATAACATATGGACTGCATGCAGATAGGAGACAGAAACCATCTCCTTGTTAATCTTTGGGGTGTAACTGATCATTTTAATGTCCCCACAGTGCTGTGTTGGTGAGGTCATTAACCCTGTGATATATGGAGGTGGAGTCGATTCACTGCCAGCTCTCCTTACTTCTTTGGGGAGAAAACTGACAGAGGGACAGAAATTTTTAATGAGGCTCGGTGACGCACGGCTTAGCGGAGCGGCACAGGAGCGCAGACAGATATATAGACCAGAAACATTAGAGGACCATTTTCTATCTTTTCATATTAGCTTCTGCTCACAGAGAAGCTTTTCTTCCACATAAAATCACTCTATTTAGACTGAAGTCTACAGGAGCTAGAATGACTCATGGGTCAGTGTTAAGTGGCTCATTCCTCTGAAAATGGTCCGGTACAAGGACTGGACTCAAAACTAAAGAAACACTTTAAGAGACCTGAAAACAGTAAATGTGGTATTTCTGTTTTCAGTATTGCGATTTTCTGAGTTTACATAATTAGTTCATGTTTTTAAAATAAACCAAACAGGGCCGTCATTGAGTTCAGTTCATTCGCTCTGTCATTGGTCGACCTTGCAGAAAGGCTGAAACCTCTGAGCTGAAACAGCCACAGAAGGAATGAGAAAGATAACCTCTAAACACAGCACATGTTGTTATACGTGGGAATAAATCAACATCAGAGCTGTCGGAAGAATCCAGGTCAGTTCAGTGGAGACTGCAGGAGGAGGCTGGTTCTCACAGCTCTCATGTGTTTTCCCTGAACCCCTTTTTCTCTTTTTCCTTTCTCTTTATTGTTTGTCTTCACCTTCTGAGTCTTTGAACTGGAGCACAGTCCCCCTTTTTATTACTTTATTTTATTTTTGCTGTGCAAGCAACACTACTGTTTGCTGGGTTTTTACTAATGCAGGGGAAAAACTACGTTTTCTTGTTTTCTATTTGCAGATTTGATCCTCATCATATTTATAACATCTTGATCTTTTTATTGAGCATCAGTCTGAGCATCTCTCAGGAAAGAAACTCAATCTTTCAGTTTTTCTTACTCACAGTGAGGCTTAACTTGACCAGTGAGATTATTTCTGCCTCCAGGTCAGCTCTGAGAATAACACAAATTTGTCCTCCGTAAAAGATTCTTGGAAGGTCATTTCTTGGGCGTGACTGCAGTCTCAGTTACAACATAAGAGTCGAGCAGTTTGTAGCACCACTGTTTGGGGTTCTTGCACCTTTTTATCCTGGTCATTATAGACTGTATATAAAAGGCCGACTCTGAAACTGAAGCCAGACTGCATTCCTTCTAATGACCAGCAGGGGGCGATTAGAAGGAAGTCAGATTGTAAAGAAACCTAGAAGACTATTGTCTATTATAAGTCTATAGTGACAAAGGGACAAAGCGAGAGACACTAAAGTGGGAATTAAACATTCGTATCACTGCTATTCTCAGAGCTGTATACACCACCACGAAGAAAAGCATTGTTAGTTCTAATGATGCACGCAAACAGACCCCGACCCCTCACTGCACACTTATCTAATGAGGCACATACAGTGTTTTCTTTTTCTTTTTTATTATTATCATAATTATCCAATTTTATTTTAGGTTCACATTTTACACGAGAAGCTGGACTTCAGTCATATTCAGCCAAAGTGTGGCTCCAAGGATAATCTGAAGCACTCGCCCAAAGGAGGCAATGTATGTACGCCTTTCTCTCTCTCTTTTTTCTCTCTTTCTCTTATTTCTCTTTCTCTTTTTTCTCAGCTGGGGCTGTCGTGGCACTCTGTCATGCTACTATTATGTGTTCACGCGTCTGTCATCTGTCCGTCTGCCAATACGTTGTTTCGGACAAGCAAAGGAGAAGGGGTTTATTTCCAAAGGTGTAGCACGCCTATGTTACTTTTTTTCAGTTAGCACTGTTTACTGTTTAGTGTATAACAGGAAAGTTAGCATAGACTGGAAACTGGGGTGGAGGTGGGTTGCAAAGCAGCTTGCAGAGCTAGCTGTTGGTAGAAGATTTGATTTTTCTTTAATTTTTAAAAATTGTGGATGTTGCACACTGGGAAGTAAACTCTTTCGTGCGCTTCACGTTTGAGACTTGGTGCTAAACAGGGCCTTGATTTCTGCATAGGCTTCAGCCCATTTCATGCAGTCTGAATTCAAGCGCACTCGAGTTAAAGTGGGCATCGACAGACTGATGTAAACCTGGGACGCCTCTACAGGATTATTTTAAGCAGGGAAGTAGGAAGGGTTTTTTTTTTATTAAGCCCCTCGACTCCACGGCTGTGTGAGAGACCCTGTGTGTTCTGTCTGTTTGGGGTTTTTTTTAAAGAAAAAAGTCAACCTGTCATCCACAGGTCATGATTCCAAGCGTTAAGCTGGACTTTAGCCACATTAAGTCTAAATGTGGCTCCCTGGACAAAATCCAGCACGCAGCAGGCGGGGGAAACGTGAGTGACTTAGCAGAAAATCATCTCATCCAAGATCTGTCGTTCTTGATAACACTTCACATGTGTGTGTGAGCCGTCCTCGTGGAGTGTGTTCGTCTTCATTAGCTGTATTTTGTGTCTCAGAAACAAAAACATTTACAATTGTATAATCTTTGTGCATTCACCTGGGCCACAACATACAGCATGTCTGCATAGTGCATATATTTCATAACATAAACCACTTCCCTCTGCAGCCTGCAAGGCTGTCAGTTTCTCTTGTTTACAATGCTCGCACTAATTCACATCACCCATGGACAATAAAGTTTAATTGAAGCACCTGCTCCCCGTAGCGTCACACAGTAGCGCCCGTGTTCTGTGTTTGTTTGATGTCTGCACCGTCACTGCTTGCGTTCATGTTAACCTCCCCTCCAGGGATCTGACATCAGCCTCTCTGTGGCTTTTCTGTGGACTGCGGTTGATTGACTCACACCGCCTTTATCTAGAGATTCATGTCATCTCACCACGTTCATTTTCTCTCTTTTTGAAACCTGTCGCTTTCATTTCATTGCATTTCATGCCTGTTATTTGTGGTTTATTCACATTCAAAGCAATTAAAGGTGAATTTGTGCAATGTGCCACTGCTCGCAGATCCAAATCCAGACCAAGAAGATCGACCTGAGCCATGTCACCGCTAAATGTGGCTCCTTTTCCAACATCCACCACAGACCAGGTACTGTACAGCCACAGCTGGCCTTTTAGAAAAACTTAGAGAATTACATTATTGTACAATGTGTTTAAGGGCCTTTTCTTAAAGGAATTCTGAGACTAGTTGTCATTACCACATCTTTAATTGTCCTTGTTGAAAGAAGTTACTCGTACTATAAACTTTTAAAAACATTGGTGATATATATTCTTCATGTATATGTCACTGTAATCCACGAAATCTCCAGTTGAGCAAAAAAATCCTTAGGCCCCCAATGGTTCTTATCTATATCTCAGACAATGACCATCATCATGTTGCCTAGCAACCACCTACCAACTACAGTTGACACAATACCACTTTTTTATGTCCGATACCGATACCAATATCATAAATTTGGATATTGGCTGATACCGATATGAATCCGATATAGTGTGTTTTTAATCAAGAAAAATGATTTTTTAATATCTTGCTGCATTTTGTATAAGTTCAAACTCAAGTTTAAAAAAAGAAAACACTAAAGCTATTCTGTTATACCTGTATGGAAAAAATACACTGCACCCAAAATATTTCCTAGTTCAGCAATACTGATGAATCTAATAAACTTAAACCTACTCCATCCTCCCTATTCTGGTATTTTAAAGAGTAAGCAACCTAACTAATAGGGTTGCAAACTCCCAGCACAAAAAAAAAAATAGGGAACCACCCCCCACCCTCCACCTCGTGATGCTTAATCGACGTAATCAACTTTAATTTGATGCAGTGTGGAAAAAACGCACAGAAATCAATTATTTTTCAAGAATAATTAAATAGATTCAGCATCTTTATTCTACAGAACTGCAGACTGCACAGATGGTATCTTCCCAAAGGAAAAAGTACTATAGCTTACTAGGATATATTAGACTTAATAGTTACTATATACAGTAATGGACTTCTATACATTTTACATCATATTAAAACTTTGGGTGTAAGATTCTGATAATTAATTATTAAAAGCTAGACATTTTAAATGAGAATAAGAAAGAAAAGTATGTCTTTGTGCCCCCTTTTCCCTGTTAATGCCCTGTCGGCCCCCCTGGCTAAACTTTGCTAGATCCGCCCCTGCACAGTCACCAGCCGACAGCTACATAGAAAAAGATCCTGGTGTAGAAAGTAATATTAAATACATTCTAACAACAGCTGATCAAGCTTAAACGTGCTGCTGTTGTTCAGCCGCTGGTTTCCTCTTTCTGGCGCAAAGTGGGCCAAAAACAAACAAGAGAGACGGAGTCACGACAGAAAAGCCGATCTGATGATCATTTAGCAGTTTCACGATTGAAGTAGCAGCAGGAGAGGGAGAGAGAGAGAATAAGAGGCAGTCACTCCATATATCGGTTGTTAAGCTTAACGCTGGAATGCTTTATAAACATTCAGAGATGAACTTACACACTTGCTTTACTTCTCTCGGGGATCACTTCCTCAGAGATGAAATGCCGGTTTGGTAGCGAGGCTGCAAATATTCAACCAGACCACGGACAGGTCTCGCATGCCATAGCCGCTCTATCACGTGATCACTGCTCCGACGTGCTATGGTTATGGGCCGAGTTATGCCATGTCGCAAGTTTTGTGAAGTGCTTTTTTGATATTTAATGGATCGGATTACATTTTTTTTATTTCTCTCCAATATCCGATCCAGTAATTTAGGTCAGTATCGGACCGATACCGATACCTAATATCGGATCGGTCCATCTCTACTACCAACGAGTTAAAATGGCCCATTTGCAGCATTTATGCACCTATGACTCCTTATAAAAGCTTCGTATCATTTTAATTTGGTGGCAAAAACATCTAATTTATATCCACAGCAGTTGAATTATGCATGCAACTTATGATGTCTAAATGCTGCTTTGCAACTATCTAACAACACACTAAAATCGCAGACCAAACAATACTCCAGCATGCATTTAACTAGTATATATGATGTATGGAAAAAAGGAAGGCAACCTACTTGTACAAAGTATGTAAGGCTCTCTTCTTAAAGGAATGCTAAGACTAGTTGCTATTAGCTGATTTTGATTTGTCCTTATGGATATAAATGATTTTTGTGCCATTTAGAGCGTAACAAATGCTGTGTTTTATAGTAAATGTTGGATCATTAAAACCTTCCAGTATTGATATATGTTCCAATTCTCTTTATGTATATCCACTGTAATCCATGAAACCTCCAGCTGAGCAAACAAACCCGGTCCCTGATTGTTCTTATCTATAGCACATCATCACATTGCCTAGCAACCTCCGACCAGCAAGCTAAAATGGCCCATTTGTAGTATGCAACTAAAACTCCTTATAAAAGCATTGTATCATTTTAATTTCAGGACTGTGCGCTCTCATATATATCCACAGGAGTTGGATTATGCATGGTATATACTAATGTCTTTGTTGCCTAACAACCACCAAGCAACAAACTAAAATCCCAAACAATGCTGTAACATTTTTAAAAAAGGGCAACCAGCAAAGTACTCCATAACTAAATTTGATGAGACATTGACAACTCGTCGAGTACATCAGATCTGGATGCTAATTTTTATTTGTGCTTTTATTTTCTTGATTTAGGAAATTTGAAGTCTTAAGAATCAAATGTTGCTGTCAATTCTGTGGGGAGTTGTAGAGAAATACCGATGGAGTTTGTTGTCCAACTGATGTAGAACAAAGCACCAGGATTAGAGTTTCTTCTATTTTGGTAGTTTTTCACTGAAACGCTACAAATGTTTGTGCAGCAAACATACTCCTCCACAAATAGCCGGTTTCTGGGCTGACTGAAGGTGGTTGGAAGGTTTTATCATGTTGCCCAATCCTATTAGGAACTTAATGTGAAGACGCTGCTTGATTCCACACAACTATCAGCTGTGCTGCTGCTCTGCTACATGTGCTGCAGGCAGCCCGGATGGAGTCAGAGCTGCTCTGCTGGACAAACTGTGACGATTTCTAAATGATCCCAAACGTCTTTTACCACATTACACAATTATAAGACCATTTAAGCCACTGTCACACAGCACGAAAGTTTAAATTTTTCTCTTTTAGCAGTTGGAGAATGCAGTTGGTCACCATCCATTTTATAATAGAGGCAGATCCACATATTGTTATTTTATATTACATGCTTGTCTTTAACTTACAGTGCAACACAGTTCAGTGGCTGTGGGTTGCACAAAAGGAGTCAGAAATTCCACGTAGATCAACATAAAGATGTCAAACTGTTTGTCTTTTTTTTTTTTAAACAAGGCCCAATAACACCAGTGAGCGAAAGTCTGTTCTTGTCAAATTAGTTTTGATTTAGTAAAAGCATATGTATTTCCTTTAATCTTAGCAATAATCTGATTAATATTTCTTAATTTCATCTGTCATCTGTCCACTTACAGCTTCAGTTTTGCCCCCATAATGTCACCATTTCAATGATATTTACAAGAAAGTGTCAAAGCAGGAAATTGAATATTGCATCCAGTCTTACATGGTACTATATAAACTGTATAAATCAGGTCAAAGCTGGCACTTGTGCCTTTTTCAGGCTGTGCAGTGTGCAGACTGAGATTTTTTTTTGCCCTGAGCATTGCCTAGGAGAAGTGATGTCCTGCAGGCGAGCGATTCCTCGTGGGTTTAACACTTCTCTTCTCCTCCTTGCTGTCCTGTTCCCAGGGGGAGGACATGTGCGTATCGACAATGTGAAGCTGGACTTCAAAGAGAAGGCCCACGCCAAGGTCAACTCTCTGGAGAACGCCAGCCACACTCCTGGAGGCGGGAACATAATGGTAAAAGGAAGCCTCTTTTTATACCAAATGTCACTGTCAGTTCACGTTAAAGAGGAAAAAGAGCGCTGACCTAAACCGTCTTCCCCTGCTCACCAGATCGAGAGCCACAAGCTGAATTTCCGGGATTCGGCCAAAGCTCGGGTGGACCACGGTGCGGAAATCATCGTCACCCACTCCCCTGGCATCGAGACGGGAGGCACCTCTCCTCGCCTGTCTTCCTCCGGCAGCATCAACCTCCTGGAGTCGCCCCAGCTCTCCACGCTGGCCCAGGATGTCACCGCTGCCCTGGCCAAGCAGGGCTTATGAGCCAGCTGCCTCTGCTTAGGAAAAATACAAATCCACACCATCACCCCTCCTTTTCCCATCGTTCCCATCACAAGCTTCCAGTGTTTAACGTAACCCCCACAGTTGTAGCTGGTTGACCATCTCATCCAATCAACGATCCCTCCGGCCCTTCCAAGCGGGATTTAAAAAAACTGAATTCTTCATAAATCTTCATCGACACTCCCCGTCTGTCGGTCTGCTTTTTATCCTCTCATTCACTCAAACGTGGACTTTTCTGTTTTAGATAAGCTGAATGCCAAGGTTCAAGTGGTTCAAGAAGGTGGTTTTACGATTGTACAGGATTTTTCTTTGGTCCTTTTTCTGTTCATCTTTACTTCTTTTTCTTTGGTGCGTTGAAAAACACCAACACATTCCCACTCGCACGGGGCTAAAAATTTCAAGTTGGACTGACGTCCATTCAGAATTTAGACGGTACTGAATGCAAGATATAGCTACTAGACAGTAGGTGCTAGTCTTAAAGATAAGCGAGAGACTTAACTGACCTGCAAAAGAATGGCTGATGAGCATGTCTGCAAAAAAACAACATAAAAAAGAAAAGTGTGTGACATGAACTTTTCTTTGTTGCGTTTGTTGGATTTCCTGAATTGTGCTGAATTGTTGGACAAACTTGTGTTCTCTTGTTTTCTTTTTATATATAAATATATAAAAAAAATATATGTCACTGTAGTTGGAAGTATTTACAGTTTTGTACGTTCCCTGTGGCTGCTCTGGCTTATTAGCATTTAAATGTGGATAACCATTGCAGCTCTGTTGAGTCGGGCGCTAAAAGGCTAGCTTTCCAATAGATTTTTGTGTTTTAGTTTCTTCTCTCGTCAGCCGTCGGGCTGCGCCGCCCCTTCCACCCTCTCTTCTTTTTATTTTCTGGTTTTACATTAGCGCTGTGGTTTTTATTAGGCTACAACAATGCTGTTATGCTGGCATGGCAAATAAATGATAAATAAATTAGATCTATTTGGAGCGATCTTCGACTTTTCTGTGTGGGTGTAAAATGGCCCGGGTGCATTCTAGCACACGGGCCCCTGTGACCTTGCTCCTTTTGCAAAGACTGGGTTGTGTAGTGTATTTGAGTGGGTAAAAGCCCCGAATTTTGTTTTAAAAAGTGTTAAGTGTGAAGCTTTATATGAAAACATTCCATTTGAAAGAAGTTTTTGAACGTTTGCAGAGATAAAGAAGGTAAAGAATGGGAATAATACCCCACAAACCTGCAGCTTTTAGAAGTTTTTTTTTAAAAAAAAGAATAAAAAAATGTTCTAGCATATTCTCTGCTCACCATTATGAGACTCCCCCCCTCCCCACCTCCCCTCCTGATGTCACCTACCCTTCCAGTGTTTTTCTGTGCTTCCTATATCCCTCCCCCTCTTTGCCTGTGTAAGTGTATTTAAAAAAAAAAGATTTAAAAAAATTGTAGATGTGTGCACACTTTCCGGTGTTTGAGACGTACTGATGACAAAATGCTCCTACAGGATGATGGCAACAACAAAAATAAAGAAATAAAAGAAATAAAAAACTGGTTCATTCTAGTCTTGTGGATCAATTCTTTGAAAATACTCGTCTTTTTGTGAAAAACACGTCAACCTGCATGTGTGGCGTGCCTGTTTGGTTATCATCAGCACGTGTTTTGAAGGCTAAATAAAAATGTCATTATTATTCATTAAACAAGAGGCATTGCTGGCTTTACTGTAGTCATTTGAAGTTTGTATATTTGACAGACAAACGCTTTAAAACCTGTTATAATTTTCTATAGTTCTGCATAAAGTTGGTAATGGCGGGTAAAACATAAGGCATGGGGGCCAGAATCGACCCGACAAACATCGGCCCTGTGGACAGCTTTGGGAAATGTGAAGGAGAGGATAAACTTTGGGATTTTGACTGTATTTTCACAGATTTTGTAGCTTTTCTTTCTGTTTAAACGCCTCCACAGTTGTTCATACTGTGCCAAAGAACAACAAAGTAATTAAGTGATAGATAAACAATTAAATAACAGCAACCTTTCCCTTTTCTCATTACTACACACTTTTTTTTTACTTAATGAGTTTGTTAGTTTGGCAAAACAGTGATTTAAAAACAGACATTTTTCGTGAATAACAAAAACATTCAGTTTTATTATTACATGAATTTTTTCTGTAATTTTAAACATTAATATGTTTTAGTTTATGCTCAACGAAGCGCGATGACATATTTCTTTAGCTTACCAGAGAAGCATTTCTTTTCTGGGCTCTAATGAAAGTTATAGTGGGACAAATGCAATTTTTGCAGACTTGCTTCTGTACACCACTGCAGCTTTTAATTCAAGAGGGTTAACAAAAATGTATGTATGAGTTAAGAATTACAGTCATTTTTGTGCACTATCCCATTTGCAGAAGCTCTAAATCAATTAGACAATTGACTGACAGGCAGTCTGATGGCCAGATTAGGCCTGTTCCCTTCTTCCATGACAAATGAAGCAGATAAAATATCTGAAGTTGATTCCAGTCCAATTTCATAGCTTCTTACTTAAATGTTAGGGTCAAAGAAATGTCAGCGCATGTGACAGAGGCCATCATTAGAGCTGAAAAGACCTATCAGATATATAGCAAAAAAAGTAGGAGTGGACAAATCAGCTTCTTCTTTAGAGGAAGGAATGTTCTAGCACACAAAGACAATAAAGTGGATGTTAAAATAAATTAAATGAGCTTCACAACATTTCTCAAGAGAGAGACTAAGAGATGCCTTCAACAGCATGCACACCACTGGTTTCACACATGGATAACAAACATGTAAACAAGCCGAACAGTTATGGAAACAAATTCTTGAGACAGATTAAACCAAGATGAACTTGTAGCAGAACAATGAGTAGAGCAAATTTTGAAGAAGGATAGAAACAACCCATGATCTGAAGAATATCACATCATCCATCAAACATGGTGGAGGTCATGGTATGTTACGGGCAGAGATTAACGCTGTAATCCAATTACTTTTTTCAAGTAACAAGTAAAGTAAGGGATTACTATTGCAAAAAAAGGTAATTAGATTACTGTTACTTTCCCCTAAGGGAGTGCAGCGTTTGTGGCAACAGCTGTGTGCAGATCAACAATGGATAATATATCTAGTGCGGAGAGAGTACGAGCTGCAGTGTTTAAAGCGTGGAAGTACTGACCTTACTTTGAGTCTGATTCCATAAAAAGTGACAAAAACATTAGTGTCCGCTGTTCACTGCGTGGGAAGAAAACGTCTTTTTACAGCGAAAAAAACCCTTAACTTCTGAGCAAGCACTGAGTGCACTACGACATAATGGGAAATTCACAGAGACACTCGCGGATTCTTCCACTGACCGCCGCGGCACACCTGCACCAGGGCAAACCTCCGCCTGCTATACAGGTGAAAGTAGAGCAACAGGATCGCTGAGTCTTTAATTTTATTTTATTTTCTGCTGTGTTTCACTTGCATTTATTTGAAAGACTGAGTGTAAACACAAAAAATATTTTATTTTATGTGCTGGAATGTGCAGAAAATAGGTTTAAATGTTAAACAAATTTCTTCCAGTCAGAGAATGTTGCATATAATTAAATTTTTGCTTGATGCATAAAGTTAAAAGATTAAAACTAGTAAAACGAGTTTTAAAGAGACTTTTCCATTTGATTACATTTTGTAGAGAAAGTAGAATTGGGCTGAAAGATCTTTCGCTTTATCACCTGTTCAGGTTGTAAATCATGTTTTTAAAAAGTAATTAAATAACTAAGTAATTAATTACTTTTGGAAATAAGTAATCAGTAAAGTAACACGATTATTTTGGGGGGGAAGTAATCAGTAAGTAACTTGACCAACACTGGTTATGGGTATGTATGACTGCCAGTGGAACTACTGTAGATCACTGGTGTTTACTGGTGATGTCTCTGCTGACAGAAGGAGCAGGATGAATTGTGAAGTGTGTTGGGCTATCCTCTGCTCAGATTAGCCGAATGCTGCACAACTGATTGACCCAAAGCATCCTGTTTGAGTAACCCAAGAGTTTCTGCAAAGATAGAGATTTTTTTAGTGGCCAAGTCAGTCACCTGAGGACTTAATATAAAAATGGCTGTGATTCCTGAACAGTTAAAAAAATATATATATTTGCTAAACCCCTTGAACAAAACCAGGACCAAATCAGTGTCTTTCTCCTGCAAATTATAAACTTCAATACCTAGATGGTGACTAAACTCCAGTTTTCAGAGTAGCATGACCCAGACAGCCCTTCTTGCTGTTGCTAAGCGAGAAGAGGTGCTTATCTTGAATAACTGCTATTAAATAGCGCAATTTATTTAAACGTGGATGGCTGTTCCTGACCACCAACCTAACAGGATTGGCTGGTGGTCACCTTGGCCAATTAGATAAATGCTTCTGAGGAATGTGCAGGGAGGGTCATCCCATAGTAAGAGGTCTCACTTACGCCACTCTGAGAACTGAGGTTACGCAAGTAACCTAAAGTTTTCCTTCCCTACATGGTTATTGTTCCTTTAATTGATCCTTTTCTGTCTTTTGTAAAGTTTGTAAACCCTGCTGGGTTTTAATGTTCATGGTTTTAGTGTTTGCAGCGTGAGGCACTGTTCAGATGCTGTGACTGTCCATCTGCTGAGAACAGTTCTGGTCGTTCTTTTTCTTCTTTTACAAGGAAACACCGCATTCAAACAGCACTGCCATGTTAAAACACGGTGCATTGTTCTGGATTTCGTCAACATGTTAGATCCCTGTTCCATGGCCTTATGAGGATATTATTGCGCGGCATGGCCTCTTTAAACAGTGCGAATGTTTCGGGAAGTGACACCTGATTTGATTTTGCTGTGTTTTTATGACTCACAGCTTGGGCTATTATTAAACAACCTGTTGATATTTAAAGGGGTGGATGCACCACGCGGATGCAGCGGTTTCAGTCGCTCCATGTGTTGATTGCGGGGAATCAGAGGAGGAGGAAAAGGCAGAGGGGGAGAACATCTGGCCCAGCTGCACACTGCGTCTTTAAAGCCCCGCTGCTGCTGCTGCTGCTGCTGATAAATTAGCTCTCCGATCAGCTGTCGCTGTCCAGGGAGGGAGGTGCTGATTTCGGAGCGCTCCTTCTTCCTCTCTCCTCCTCCTCCTCCTCCTCTCTCTCTCTATCTCTCCTTTGCCGCCGACCGACCGATCGACACTTGCAGCCATTTTACGCAGGACTAACCCAATCATGTCGTGAAGAGGGAGGGAAAAGCTCGCTGGTCACCTGGGCAGAGCCAGCAGCCGCGCGTCCCGGTGATCGCACACAGGCAGGCGGCCGCGCAGGGTCCGGCCAAAATGGTGAAGAGGAAAAGCCTGGATGAAAACGAACCGGAGTGCGGGAAGGGAATACCGTTCCCGATCCAGACCTTCCTGTGGAGGCAGACCAGGTTGGTGACATTGATAACAGGTGTTTGCCGTTGGTGAAAACGAGGCAGGGCTGACGGGGGTTTGTCACCGCGTCACACGTCAACATTATTTGATGAAGTGACTGAGAAACCCCGCCAGTGAGTGTCTGCTCACTGATTTGTGTTAAATGGAGGAAGATGGGGCTGTGGGTGCAGATTGTATGATGTCACACCTGTAAAAAAAAGTGGGCCACATAGACAAAATGGGGTGATTTACTAGCCTATAACCTACATTTGTCCTTTTTTTAATCTCTCACAAGCACTCTGTTGATGTCTTTCAGTGCTTTTCTGCGGCCAAAGTTGGGAAAACAGTATGAGGCATCCTGTGTGGTAAGTCATTTCATAATACCATGTGCACGATGAGGGGAAATAATCGCTTCCCTTCCCAGTAATCTGTTTTTATCTTAATGCACCTGCAAATCAAGTGAGCTCTTGATTTTGCATTTAGCAAATTAGTTTTGCCCCCGTGCTTCCTCCCATTACCCTCGAGCTAGACTCATATCCATAATGACGCTTCTCCAGATCCCTTTGGATCCAAACAGAGCTTCCACTGTCTCTCCCACAGGCTTTTGCTCGCTCGGGGCCATGTGGGACATTTAGATAGTCAAAGAAAGAGGCTTAAGTTGCCCGCCTGATGTCTCTCTTCTCCTCTTTTTTCTCTCTCCTTTGGCTGCCTCCCCAGTCCTTTGAGCGAGTGCTGGTGGAGAACAAGCTCCACGGGCTGTCGCCGGCCCTGTCAGAGGCCATCCAGAGCATCTCCCGCTGGGAGCTGGTCCAGGCGGCGCTGCCTCACGTACTCCACTGCACCTCCATCCTGCTGTCTAACAGGAACAAGCTTGGTGAGGATGCTTTAGTCCAATCGAGCTGACAGCTTCATACAGGTCATACCCAATCGCCAAAACACAAATCTGATGCTCCTTTCAGCTTCTTTCAGAGATCATCGCTTAAAAGGACAGAAAGGCAAATGATAGAATTAATATTTATGAGATTAAAATGGCCTGCACACAACAGGAGAGAAAAGCATCAAATCCTTCCATGTGACTTCCATGTGTCAGACATGAAACATGAATGAGCCACTGTTTGCATTATTATTGAGCAGGATTTGACACTTTCTTTAAGTAGGAGGTGGCAGGCTTTGAACTAAGCTGTTAAACGCCTTCAAGTGAAAATCACTGTTGCCACACAGTAAGAGGGTCCTTCATTCAATCCAGGTCAGATCCCTCCTGTTGTGCGGCTTGTTGTCCTTGAGGGTTTCTCCTTTGGGAGCTCAGGTTTCATGCAAG